CCACACGAAAAGTTTCCAATCGTAATCCCAAACGCATCCTAAGTCCTCAACCATTTTTTTTTTTTTTTTACATTGGGAATTAGGGGGATGGGATATATTTTCAAATCGTTGTGGGAGTCAAAGTCTCGACTAACTAAACCTAAGTACTTAGAACTTCGAACAAATCATTGGGCATGAAGACTCGGTTCAATTTTCAACAATTGGGTGAAATTGAACCCTAAAAAGAGTATTCACTTTTTACAAGAGAAATTCAAGAGAAAAAGGAGGATGATTTGGGAGAGAGAGAAAACGTAAAAGATGAGATGAAGATGACGGCAAAAATAGGTAGTGAAAGGAAACAAGGAAGAGGATGATTGTTTGTCATGTGTGACCCCTTCGAAGTAATATTTTGCTAAATGACTACCACCTCATATTCATCCTTTGTTTTGGTCCCATTTTTGTCGCCCTCATTATCATTTTCCGTTTCTTTTTTTATTGAATAATTATAATTGGGGTGACAAAAATGAGACCAAAATGGAGGACAAATATGAGATGGTAATCATCTCAACAAAATATTACTTAAGAGAGTCTCATATGATAGACAATCATCCTCTTCCTTATTTCCTTTCTCTACCTGTTTTTGCTTTCATTTCCACTGCATCGTTTACATTTTCTCTCTTTTCCAAATCGTCCTCCCTTTTCTCGTTTATCTTCCATTGCAAAAAGTGAATATTATTTTTAAGGTTCAATTTCTATCGATTAGAGTTTAATTTCATCCAATAGTCAGGGTTTAGGTTTTTTTTTTTTTTTTCTTCAAAAATTTAAAACAATGGTCATGAGTTTTAAATAATAGAAATGGGATTCAGAGTCATACCGTGGGTTCTTACGGTTTTCTTTCTCTCCCAAATCTTCCCCTTTTTTTTTTTCTTTTGAATTTCTCTTGCCAAAAATGAATGCCTTTTTTAAGGTTCAATTTCACCTAATAATTTAGGGTTTAGTTTTTTAAAATAAAAAATAAAAAAATGGCCATAGAGTTTTAATTAATTCAAATGGTTTTGAACCGAATCATACCATGGAGGGGGAGCTGGAGGCAAAAATGAAGAAGATGAGTAAGGGAAATAAGAAAGAAATGAAATGAAAGAGAGGCGAAACTGGTTAAAATAAAAAAATAATTTCAAAATAAAAATTTTAAAGATAAAAATAACGACATGACAAACTATGTCATTAGTTCCTGTAAAATCGTCCTCTACATTCGTACTCCCTATCATCACCCTTTTCTGTTTCTCCCTTCTTTGGCAAAACTGCCTTAAGTTCTTGAACTTTAAATAAAAGTACATGCAAGCCCTTAATTTATTTTTGTGCCAAACAAGTATCTCATATATCAAGCACAATGTCACGGGATCAGACTAGCTCCGATGGCACTTGTCTCGGAGGCAGAATCTAGCTCGACCTCGTGCGGCACTTAGCTCGAAATTAACCTCGTTAAACCCAAACCAAGTCAGCCTTCCCCAACACTGGCGTGGCCTTTTAACTAGGCTTGAGGTTAGCAACACACAAATGAAGGTAGGAAGTTGGGAGAAGAAGAGAATTTATTCAAATCGCAAGGGAGTGTACAAGAGCATGAGTACAAAGCCCCTCTCTGCACTCACTCACCTAGCCGCTCACTCTCTCAAGGCTCCTTTTTCTTTTTTTTCTCTTCTACTCAAGCCACCCCTATTTATAGAAGAGGTCAGGCCCAAGAGCCCTCTGCAGGTAAGCCTCTAGAACACTCCGCACAAATCCCTCATATTTACAATTTCTAGAAGATTCTCCATTCTCCCTCCTAAGCCTACATTATTCTAGAATCCCTTATTCTAGAATTATCTACAAGGCCCTAGGAGAAACCCCAGGTTGGGTTTGGCCCATTAAGCCCATCCAGACCCTTTATCTGGTACTGTTCATGCGCTTATCCGGAGCATTGTTCACGTCCTTATCTAGACCTCTATCTGGAACCATCACTGTGCACCCAGCAGCTTCTGGAATTTTCTGGGCTTCTCCTATCTGCTGCTGGCATGGCATGCACTGTGGACGCCCTCGACCGCTCCTGCGCGTTCCAGCATGGCTCGACCGCGACCACGTGCCACGGCCTTGGCATGGACGCTGCCAACTCGTGCAAGGCTCACCTCTTGAGCATTCCATGTTGCGCTTGCGCCCGCGCCCGTGCTTACGCTCGCGCGTGCCAACGTCTCGACCCAGCTTGCCCATGCGTGCACCCGTGTCTCAGCCTAGGACACTCTCACGCGCCCACGCATATCGCCCCCAACTGCTTTCGCACGCCCTTACACGTCCTATCCACAACTTCACGCCACGGCCCTTGTATTGACGCTTTCGCTGGCAAGGCCCGCTGCGTCTAGAACGATCCACCTTGCTCCTGCGTCCTCGAATTCGTATGTGCCGTAATCGCAACCCCGTGTCGTGACACCGACACTCGCGTCCTGCATGACCACGTCCATGCTTCCGCTTGCGCTTCAGCTTGGCCCCATGCTCGTGTTCGCGTTCACACTCCGCGACGCTGCATGGCTTGCCTCCTGGACGCTGGACACACCCCCTGTGTGCCCATGGCTGTAGTTCCGTGCCACGATGCCTGTGACTTCGGCTCCTGAACTCGCGTGCCGTGACAACAAGCTTAGTGGAAAACGCTGGAATTTAACTTAGAATCATGTGTACCTCATATGTTATTATCTTTGGCTACTGGTTTGCCTAAAGGGCTATTTTATTAGATGAAGATTATTACAATTTAGTTTTATTCAAGTGAATACTAACATTTATTTTTAATTATTTTTACTTTAAGTGATCTTTAAATTTGGAATCTTTAATGTTTTTATGAATAATTAGTTTGAAAGCAACTTCCAGAGAAAATTAGGATTAATTGGAATTAGTGTCTGTTTGGTGTCATTGGAGTTTTTAATAGCAATTATTTTGAAAAGTAACTATTGTAAAAGTATTATTTTTATAAATGGAAAGAAAAATAAAAATAAAATAAAAATAATGTGTTAATTTTATTAAAATTCAAATAAAAAACTCCTGTAGAAACATTAATTTGGTGCTTATGAGATTTGCAATGAAATAGACAAAATACTAACTTGTGAAAAGTTGTAGCATTTTTCACAAATTATAGTGTTTGGTGCAGTTAAAACTTTCACAATCCAAAAAAATTTCCCACCAATCGTACCAAACATAACCTTAATTTGTAATACTAGGCTCAATTGAGGAGCTATTAAAACCTTGAGAACTTAACTGCAGGGACTCATTTGCACATGGAAAAATTGCAATGCGTCAAATTATAAGTGTTGAAAGTTGATAGATTTCATTGACAAAAATGAAACCGTCAAGAAGACATGATCGCGTAGTGTTGGACAAACAACTAGCCCATGAGACATTTTTCTTTTCTTTTTTTATTGTTAGCGTACGGTAAGTGTTAAATGTTAATAGATATCATTGACAAAAATGAAACTTTCAAGAAGACGTGTGCACCTGGTGTTGGACAAACAACAAGCAAATGGGACCTTTTTTCTTTTTATTAGCATACGAGAAAGGAAAACAAAAGATACTCTAACTCGTTACAAATTAATTAAAAGCACATGATTCTCAATTTGACATGCTCTTCTACGCGCTGCCAAAATTCACTAGAGGCTACTTAACAAGCCCACGAGAAGTAATTGAGAAAATAAACTTAACGAGGATCAATCAAGCATGACAAGAAAGGTTGAGAACTAAATTGTCAAATGTTGAGTAAGCATGGTATAATTTTCCCATTTTAAAGAACAAGTTGAATCCTTCTTCTCTAGTAGATATGCAAAGCGAGTGAATGGCGTGCGTCTCTGATTTTTTATTATTATTTATTTAATTGGGATTTGGTAAAATCTTTCGTTAACTATTATATTCTTTCCTAAGAGACTAGAGTAAGAATTACTTCCCTATAAATATGGGCAGTAAAAGAGGGCGCAGTCACCAATAAAGGAAAAAGGGACGCCAAGATTTGGACAAAAATAGAGAGAGGGAATCTCAGGAGGACTTTTTCCTTTTTCTCTTTTTTTTTTTTCAGAAAAAGCAAGTAACTCTTAGGGTATGTTTTGGTGTAAGTAAAATAGAACATAGGAAAAAATTAAAATGTTTATCTAATTAAAATTTTAATTTGATTGGATAAATTTTTTTTTTATTTCTTTTAAACTAAACATATATTATTATTAATATACTATCTTTCATTGATTGTTTAAATATTTTGATGATCATGTTTATTTTTCTTGATTTTGGTTGAAGATGCACTTTTTTTTTTTCTTTTGGTTATGCTATTTAACTCAAAACGTTTTGTTCATGTTAGTCATAATCAAGTTTTAGTGAGAGGCCAAGGCAAATTTGGATTAAAAGGCTGTTTTTTCTTCTTCCAGTTTTTTTTTTAAACATCACTACTATACCATAGAGGATAGTTTTTTCTTCCTTTATTCTCCCTTTACTCATCTTAAATTTTAAATTTAAAATTTTCAATTTAAAATCTTAAATTCTTAATCATTTAAAATACTCCTTTAAAGGTGAGTAAGAGGCTATTTCATGGAGCTTAAAAGTATTCTTCTCTCACAATTTTTTTTTAAATAAAACCACTTTTAAACAAATTTTGAAAAAAAGTGACCCATGAACAAAGGGCCGTAGGCTTTATGTTGGTGGGTCGGATTAGAATTTTGGGTTATTAGTTTAAATTTCTTTAATTTAATATTAGAATACTGAAACACCTAGTGGGACAATATTATAATAGTGTTCTCAAATAAAACCTAGAGAATACCATATCAAAAAAGTATTTGTTGGATGCCAGGAGATGTCTCGGATGAATTTCAAACATTTTTTTTTTATATTTCTTTAATTTCAAATTTTAAATTAAATTAAAATTCTTAAATTAAAAAAATATATATTTGCTTAGCATGTGAAGGCCCCAAGCCCAACATGCCCATGATAATATAAATAGACAAGGTCTAGAATCAAGCCCACGAGCTATAAGTCCAAATTCACTTATTGAACATTATGAAAGCATATATAAAGGCGTTTGTTCATTTGTTCTCCTCAGACGATTTTCACTTTCAAAACTCGATCATTTCAAACAATCTTACCACCAATCTCCAATGTTCTATCTCAAGCCATGGCGTTTTCCGGCACAGAGACTCAGCCACCGTTGATCAAACTCACTCCTCTCACTGAAATTCAGTCTGTCAAATGCGACTGCTGCTGCTTCACTGAGGAATGCACTCCGGCCTACATCCACCGCATCCAGGAAAGCTACCAGGGCCGCTGGATTTGTGGCCTCTGTGTCGAGGCCGTCAAGGACATGGTACAGAGATCCCACACGGCCATCTCCACCGAGGAAGCGCTGGACCGCCACATCAGCTTCTGCAAGGAGTTCAGGGCCTCTTCTCCTCCTGCTGAAACAGAGCACCCAATCATTGTCATCAGCAGGCTTCTCCGTCGCAGACTGGAATACTCTCCCCGAATGCTTCACTCCAACTCCAGCCGTTCCTTTCCCAATATGGAAGGCGTCAAGGCTTCAACCGGACTCCTTCGATCTGAAAGTTGTTTCCCAGCGCAGTCAAAGTGAATATCAAAACTCTCTTATCTCCCAAATGTTCTAATTTCTGAACAACAATGATACACAGCGAATAAACAGCTCTAAGCTTCAAATCTTCTTCCGATTATGTGCATTGTTATCAAATTTACTTCCATATCTTTCTCCATATACCATAGTTGAAGTTGTACTGAGTCGATTGCTCGGCGCAGTCAGTTGTCCAAAAATGGTTTGTTTGGAATGTAATCAGACAACAAAAACTTGACATAAATGGTAAACACATAAGGCAGGATGCAGAAAATGGAAATGCAGAGAAAATTCCCAGAAACAATTAAAACAGTAAGAAAATAGTGCTCTTGTTCGGTGAGCAGGGGGGGCTTTCACTTCCTAAATGGGGTTTATCGTTCTGATAGGATTGAGATGTTTTTAGAAAGAAGTTCCTGGATAAGTCACCGCTAAAAATTCTACCAATTCATAGAACATTATCAAAACCTGATGAACGAAAAGGTGATGTGGGACAGAGTTGTTGAAGCCCATTCTGCTTCGGTTAGAGTAGGTCCAACGCTTCCTGTCAAGTTTTTATTTGGAACAGCAAATCAGGCCAACTGGCACTATAGTTCGTATAGATGCGGTTGGATAATCCTAGAAAAAAAAAATGAATATAAAATATCTGAGATTTTCTTCTTATATTTCCTACCTCCTAGTCGGGATATCTTTTTTAATGTTAAAAAGTTAATTGTTTGGCAAGTTAGCATTAATTTTTAATCTAAATATTAAATTAAAATTCTTAATTTGGTGAATGTTAATTTGATAAAACTTTTACAAAGTAGTTTACATCTATTATAATACATTATTAATTATATAATTTAGCAATGGAGTTAGTTATATTTTTAGTTATAAATTATAGAGTTTAATCTATAATCTACATACAAAAAAAAAAATATATAACTTCTTTTTATTATTTTTTTCAGTTGTCCTAATCTTTCAATTTTTTAAAAATTAATTTGATAATTGTATATAATAAATAAATAACAATTAATTTTTTTTATCTAAATAACAACAACCAACAAAAATTATGTATAAAAAATTATATTAATTATTATCTATTTATTATTATAATATAAAATTATTTATTTAAATTTTATTTAAAAATTAAATTATGATAACTAAATTCAATAAAAAGGAATTTACTAGAAAAACCAGGATGTTAAGGACAGAGACCCCGCATTAATTTATGGGACAGGACCCACTACCTTTGTATATAATTAATCTCTTATGTTATCTTCATTGGACGGTGTTTGGCTTACCGGAGTTTCCAATACTATAAGCATCCAAATTACAATCTAAAACCAATTAACAATACTATAATCCTGGATTATGCCAAAGAATCCATCAACTTGAAACCAATGGTTGCAGTATTTGGGGTGTTATAAGATCACAAAGAACTCAAAATCAATCTGGGGTGTCCCTACCCCCAGGAGAGATTTTTTGAAAAGGACCTTGAAATCAATGAGTAAACTAAATATGCTTAGATGTCCCACTGGAAAATTTGTTAATGCAATTGTTTACACCATAAATTGTAAAATTTAAAATTAATGCCACATGTAAAACTTTTATTGGCTGGAGGAGTTTAAGCCATGTCAGATTCGGATTCTGGGCCCCATGACAGATCAGCACATGTGTTGGCAAGATAAGAGAGGTAAAGATAATGTTTTATGGAGTAATTATCTCCTTGAAACAGAAAGAGATAATGGCAACTGGAAAACAGGGGAAGATCACAGTTTAAAAGGGGATTTTATCTGATAAAGTACAGGTTGCGAAATCTGGAAGGGGATTAGACTAGGTCAAGAGGTGAGGTGTCCTACTACTCCAACAAACTACCTAGGATTGAGTAACTGCCGGCACAAGAGGAACAAAAAGGGAACTTTAGCACAGAAGGAACACACGGCCAGCCCTACTCAAACAACTACAACTTTTCATACTTTGATTTTCTCTGCACATGCTTCCAGATTTCGGTTTTTCAGCACAGATTTCGTATTTCAACACAGATTCCATTAGAATTAGGTTGTTTTTCTTCATTCTAGTAGACAAATTTATTCCTATATTCAGATAAAACAATTTTCCTTCATGCAATGAACTTCAATCCTTCAAGTTTATGCAAGGTATTGTTTTTCTTTTCATTTGTAATTAATTTAATGTTTATGTTAAGTAGCATTGCTTCAATGATTACTTATGTGGCCTTCATGCTTCTTTTCAATTTCAAGTTTCTTCAATTTATTCACTGTTCACGCTATTTATTCACTGTTCACATTTAATTTTAGTGCTAATTAGGTTTAAGTTTCCAGATCTGCAGCAATTTAATTTCCGAATCTGTCAATAGATTGCACTTTTAATTTTACCATAAGTATGTTTAATTTAATTTGGGAACATTTTTTTCTCGAAAGTTTATTTTAAATTGCAAGTAATTTAGAGTAATTAGGATTTGTTAATTGTAAGTCACGGTAATGTTTAAGTCCTTGGAGTTGTCAAAGGCAGATTTCGTAACCCATTCTGCAGGAAGGTATCCCTCCCTCTTGCAAATCGTCTGAAGGCGCAAATTTCATTTTAATCCAACGTTCTTCCCGCCATCTGCGAAGAGGTCGACCGTGAGGAAGGAGAGGATCGTTGGGAAAGTCCTCATTTCTTACTTTTAGCAAAATAAGTGACACGCCCGCATCAGATTTCACACGTGCGAGGCCACTAGAGGATTTTTGAGGAAACAGCAATATTGATTGACTTTGTTTTCCCCACAAAATTTGAGCAGGCTCTGGTTAATCTCTACAATTGATTTGTACTAACAAGGACAATATATTTGTTATGTACGTATTTCCGAAGGCATAAGATGGCAGAATGATGTGCAAGTTCATTACAAAAGATTAAATGTGAAAATCTTCCATCAAATGATGAAAGTTTCAACAAAAATTACCACTGTGGAATGCCAGTTGAATTGCTTCCGCTGAAAGCATAAAATGCATTTAGAGGAAATATGCCCGGAAATTGACTGCAACTCCCTTGCTTTTCCCTTTAATGGAAGTGTGTTTTCAAATGAAAATCAAGAGGGTGACTTAGTCCATGCTTCACTGCTTCAATCTGATTCTGAAAGTGCTGATGCACCCTGTCTTGACAGCAAGTTGTCTCACCGGATGTGAGCTTAAAATGTGGCGATTTGCTGTGAAAGCCATTCCTGATAGTCCAAAATGGGGCTGGAATGATGATAAGGAAACAATTGATAATCAATCTTTCTGCTCTTGTTAAAAAATTCTTCCATTGCTGGAGATGCTACTGATGGTTCCCAGTTCACAGGCGGTTGACAATTCCTAATGACAGCACTTCTTTGTGCTCTCATTGTTTTACCACGTATCAGCTGTTCCGTTAACTATAACAATTAACTATTTATTAATATATAATTATCAACTATTATTAAGCAGCATTAAAAAATTTTGGTTTAATTGATAAAGAGTTTACTCTTTATTTTATTAATCAAAGTTTAACTTTTTGAATATGTCAATTATATGAATGGTCTCTTTTTAATTAGAACAAAAATGAATTAATTTTAAAATATGTGTAAATTGATTCAAAATACTTTAATTGTTAAAAATAATAATTTAAAAATAATTTTTTATATAATTTTATATATTATTTAAATATTTTAAAATTTTTTATTTGTATAAAACTTATAATATTAAATTTATTTATTTATTTAATAATATATCCAACCTCTATAAATAAGTAACCAATAAAAAAATTAATAATAGATAAAAATTATATAAAATATTTAGAAACAAAAATTATCTCCCCTACAAAAAAATAAAACCATTATCAACCACCAAACAAACCAAAAAGAATCTGGATTTTACGTAACACAAAATCAAACTTTAACTTAAATTAAAATTTTTGAGTCAAATGACGATCTTACCATTCAAGAGAGAGACCCTAGCCTGCTTTGGCTGAAAGTAATTATCAAGACTACCAAGGGCAAAGTCTTTTCCAAAGTACATAGGTTTAGGTTGTTTCGTACTCTTGTCCCAGTGGGACACCAACCTCTTCTCCATTTTCCTCGCTTCTCGCTCCTCCCTCTGTCTGTCTCCGAACCAGCGTTGAAGATGATGCACATGACCTTCTACTGGGGCAAACGGGTCACCCTCCTCTTCGACTCATGGAGTACCGATTCCTGGCTAAGTTATTTCCTTACTCTACTCGCCTGCTTCCTCTTCTCCTCCTTCTACCAATACATGGAAGATCGCCGAATCCGCTTCAAGTCCCTCGCCTCCACCAACCCCATCTCCGCCGCCGCCCCTCTCCTCCCCAAAACCCGCCGCTTCAAGCCCCCTAAAGTCGCATCGGCTGTCGTTTTCGGAGTCAACTCCGCCATCGGATACCTCCTGATGCTCGCTATCATGTCGTTCAACGGAGGTGTGTTTCTCGCCATCGTTTCGGGGCTGACCGTTGGGTACCTATGCTTCCGGTGCGAGGATAAGGAGGTTGTGGTCGTTGACAATCCCTGCGCTTGTTCTTGAGATCAAAGATCTGGATTATCTATCCACAGTAAATTTACCTTTTTTTTATATATATATATATTTCTTTTTATCCCTTTATACTGTGTTTGCGTGTATTGATACAATTACGATCCAATATATGAATTACTCATCTTTGTGAATTTGAAATTCTTCGATTCCACATTTTTCAGATCTAATTTTCTTTCATTTTCAATTGAGCATGCGGAGAATCAGTCTTGCTATTAAAATTATCATCAGAAGGTTCAATAGCCACAATTATCATTTAAGGAGATCTCACTTAAATAATAATTATATTTAAATGTTTTGATATTTTTAATATCAAATATACGTGCACTTGGCTTTCGGTTCAACGAAGGTAAGTCATGTATAAGTGTATTTTTTTTTTTCAGTCTAAGTGTATTTTCTTTTTTCAGTCATGTATAAGTGCATTTTCGTTCTCTTAGTTTACAGCTTGAATTCGATCGTTGCGAATTTGTTAAAAAGAATAATATATTTTTTTTTCATTTGTTGCCTTTTTTTATCTTTCAATTTGTTACTTTTTTTTCTATATTTATATATTTCAATTTATTGCCGTAA